CCTGCTAGAAAGTGCTACATCGAACGAGTCGTTAAACATGGTAGTTAGTGCCTTCAGCAACTGATGATATGCAATAGTACCGTGATAACTGAAGGTTAAACGAAGAAAAAATTATTGTCTTCGAAGGTTCCTTTCATCTATGCCTTATTGAATGTTGCAGTTCTTTAACCTCTAGTCGACACACCTACCAAAAGCAAGGGATCTACACAAGTTTGTACAAAGTACTTCAAGGATTAAACCTGAATTTGAAATGTTACCCCTATATTGACGGCCAATTTGAATGGCTGATCCCCCATAGTAGGTATGAGCCACATTCAAAATGTCTCGCAAGCAAGCAAGCTAGCAAGCTGTTAGCGAGAGGAATGAAGGCTGACGCTAGCCGAGATGAAGCTGCTTCTCTCCCTCCTTCAGGATGCCGCTTCTTACTGCCGTCTTTGTCGGCTGGTGAAGGCATGAACATTTGTGTTTTTCTTAACGGAAACCCTTAGAAGCGACCCTACCAAATTGAAGACTTCCAAGAACCGTTTGAAGAAGCCGGAGCGCTCAAGGCTGTCAGCTATATAGGCGCGTTTCAAATATGCCATGTCTGGCTTGTCATGTTTTGCACGCCAGAGACGAAGAACAGTGTGCTCGCCAAACGTGGCTTACGTGTAAATGTCAATACTGTGCGATCAATGAGCCTTGTAAGCAAAAACTGTTGCTGAAGATTCACTGGGTGCATTTTACCATTTCAGGAGATGCTCTTCAAAAGGCTCTGAGCGAGTTTGTTGATGTGAAAGATGTACTCCTTCACGAGTAGCATGTTTTTCGTTTCGAGGTCCCCTAATCGACAACGCCCGCTGTGCGGTTGGTCGGAAAAGAAGGTGTGACAGTGGAAGAGCTACCACCTTTGTGAAAGTTCTACAACGGCTATGTCCTTGTCGTTTTGCCGGTGCGAGTACTGGTCTGCCTGAAGTGCGAAAGGCGTGGGCTTATCAAACGTGATTGTCAGACGATCCAGTGCACTGAACGAGAGCAGATCCAACCGCAATCCGCAACGCCGCAAGCAATTCGTTGCCCAGGGCTAGCAGTCAAAAGCGCAATAAGTCTATCATGCCTCGACCGGCATACTCGTCTCGTGTGCGCTGCGAGCAGAGCAGAAAGTGAGAGTCGAGGCCATGAAGCAGCGGTGGTTTTGAACAATGAATGTTCGATGGCATTTATTCAGAAAAGCACGGAGAGCTTCACTTGTAATGCACTTAGATGGTTGGTCTCTTTATTACAAAAGAACACTTGAGATCATCGCCATTCAGGCGTGGGCTGCCGAAGAAAACTGAGCGGCCAGGGTGAAGCAGCCAAGCAGGGACTCCTCCCAGGCCTCTCTTGTGGGTAGTGGGATAGGGGGTGAAAAAAAAAAGAGTTTGGCAGGTGCACAGTAGTTGTTGTTGTTGAGCTAATCGTATAAGTCAGTTCACTCGTGTTGAAAACGGCCGGTCTGTCTGCATGAATTCCCGTGGGCACACTTAACGTTCGTGGATAGTCTGAAGGGCGCAAGCAGTGTCAGATCAGGGGTCTTGTTAAGGAAAATGATTTGCGAGATTCTGCTATCCAAGAAACAAAATTAGAAAGTGCAACAGACCGCATGGTTGCTCATTTCAGCTCGCTTTATAACGTGTGCATCAGCCTTGCACTAGGTACTTCTGCACGGTGGGAAATTTCATTACAGTGTTCAGGCATTGTTGAGCTAACAGTGGTCAGCTGTATGTGTCAAGTTTGTTTTGTACCAGGTCACATATGAAAAGGCAAAGTTTAGAATAATCGCGTGTATGCACCAACCAGCGTTCGTGATCCCTTAAAGTGTTTTCTAGAATTGTCTCCATATTTACAGGCAAAAACTACTCGTTTTTCTTTGCGATCTCAATTGTGTGTTCAGTGCAGATGATCGATCCAGCTGCTTAGATATAAAAGTTGTGAGTGCTAATTGCCTAAAAGAAAATATTGACAAATGCTTCGTTCAGAATGAGGCTTTTTTTAATAGTGAATCGCAGTGCTATTATACACATTTTAACGGCTCTAGTTAAGTAAGAAAAGGCAGAGCTTACGTGGCATGAGAGCAGGCAAATTTCTGATGGTCATGTTGTGGAACAAGTCTCGTTCAGCGATTACTCAATTGTTTTATTCTCCTTGGGTGAAAAAAACATCCGGAACACGTATGTATATGGGGCCTGTGGAATTTCAATGTCCAAGTACTTAGCGATAATGGAGGTTTAGGTTCCTTTAAAAACGAATTACGCAAAAATAACAACCTAGTACACAGAGACTGGTCTGAGTGAGAAGTGGGAGCACACCTAACGTACGTGAACTTTTCGGTGCAGGTGGATTCTTTTATGCATTACTTGAGGGTATATGCAATTTGTTGCGAAATTTCAAGCTTATGTGGCCCGTGCATTTAGATTTGGGGCCACGTTAAAGAAGCCCAGGTGGTCAAAATTTCCGGAGCTCTCCACTACGGCGTCTCTCATAATCATGTGGTAGTTTTCGGACGTTAAACCCCACATATCAATCAATCGAGCTTCAGTATCTCGGGCCTTTAATGTCATTCCGTACGTGCGAATGTCGGGCAGTAATAGTTCCATTCATGTTGGTATAATCCAGCACAGCAGGACATACTATTACGGGCATCGTTAAATTTTACTCTCTCTGCCCACACGTGCACATGCACCCATTGACCTCACGTGTGCGAATGCACACACGCTTGGATGATGCTACACATTCTCATTCGTGCGCTTGATATACACCGAAGTGGCAAATGTGCGCAGACGTGCACCGCATCCTTAGCGTACACATCCCTGTGATATTATGTCGATATGTGCATGTCAGGTTGCATCCTTCTGCATGTCGTTTGCACTTGCATGGTGCCGATATGTGCGCGTTGTGTCGCGCGCAGCGAAATATTATTGAACTTTCTCGTTAGTAATCTATCAAACTTCACCGCAAAGCAACTGTGTGCGCAGAGCAGCATCTGATGTCCATCATGCGAAAGCAGGTACTTCCATGTACATGATATGTGCGGTTTAACGTCCTAAAACCACCATATGATTATGAGAGACGCTGTAGTGAAGGGCTCTGGAAATTCCGACCACTTGGGGTTCTTTAACGTACACAAGAATCTGAGCACACTGGCCTAGAAAATTTTCGCCTCCATCAGAAATGCAGCCGCTGCAGCCGGGATTCGATCCTATGACCTGCGGATCAGCAGCCGAGTACCTTGGCCACTAGACCACCGCGGCAGGGGCCTTCTATGTACAGGTGCTCCGAAAGTATACGGGTCTCACCAGCGACCGAGCTACGCAAAAGTGAATGCCAGCGTGCGCCACTAAATAAGTGGTTCTTCATTTTTATTTATACGAAAGGTGCCAGAAGATAACAACACCATTTCTGCATACAAGTGAAGAACCACTTGCTTGATGCAGTTTGCCCATGTTCACTTTTGCATAGCTCGGTCACAGCTGTCGTGCTCCGTTTTACTCGTAGAGCAACTGTACGCAGCGTTGTGAAAGGAGCAATGTACTAAGTAACAAAGTTCGTTGTTGCATCATTTAGCGCCGGTACCTCGAGTTGCTTTCGTACGCAAGTTTTTGGTTTCTATTGCTGTGTGTCCGGTTGAGACGAGAGAACTGAAGAAAGCGTTCGAAACGCAAGAACGGGGGTACCCAATTGCTTGGCGCCCCCGGAAAGACAGCTATTCGTTGCACAAAACTCGTATGAGGTGGACTTGATGAGCTCGTGGTCGAGCCCACTGGGCCATTGGTCGGCAGGAGCTCGCAGAGAGAGCACGCACAGAGCAACGAAAAAGCAGCTTTATTGGCTGAACATTAAGGCCATACTGCACGTTCGTTCCTGCCCGTGGACCATGTTGCTCCGGCTGACGTGCGCCATATGAGAGTCACTGGCACAGATGTATGATCACTTTTCCACAGCCCAATAACTACAATAATTACAGTGCCCATCTGTACAAAAAAGAATATGTGCAGCCCTCATTTGTGGTGGTAGAGGAGGTAAGCTACGGAGCATTTCTACATAATTTATTCATTGCGTATTGATGTATTGGTTAGCAATCAATTGGTTATTGTATGGCCACTACATCAAATCGACCACTCATTTTTTGGGAGAGGCTAAAAGTTTAGGCTTTGTTGGCTCTATAGCTGCAGTGCTGGAATGCGCCAAATGTCACGGCTCCGCAGGAAGTGGGTGGGGGAAGCTCGAGGTACGATTATTTGGAAAAAAGTCAAGCAAAACTATGATGCTTGCACTAAGTGGTGCAAGGAATAGCATATCAAAGCACGGGTGCATTGCAACTCACGCTCTTTGTTGATCTTCACGGCTTTCTTGTAGGGTGTGGAAAAACTTCTTTGGCTGTCTTATGACATTCTGGACACGATCGCGTGCAGCCAGACTTTGCGATACAGGGTGGAGGCTGCGCTCGACGTCTCGGTCAGTGCGCGTTAATCGCATGCTTCCTCTTTATTTCTATATTCTATGTGTACGCTAAGGTGCGCGTATTGATTTGTTAACTTTGTTAGAACGTTCTTCTTGCCTACTTGATGAATATAGCCGGCTTCTCTGGACGCTGTATTAGTGTCATAAGCTTTGACTGCAATTTTAGAATTGGTGATGATGATTTAGGTGAATACATTTGTGATTTTCACGGCAATCACCACTATCTCGGCCCGCTCTGGCTAAAAGTATTCACAATCGCAAATTCGCTCTGCTCTTTGGTAAAAGATTGTTTATTATTGCAATTGAATATATTGCTAATGAACTTGTGCAAAAATATCACCATGGATTGCAACGTGACAACTTAATCTTTTATTCTTTTACCTTGTGCTTTTTGTTTTGTCATTTATTATTTCAAAATAGCAAAAGCTTTTATGAACAGCCATCAATTTCAACAAATACAATTGATCTTTTCGATCATCTCTGCTAGTCGTTTGCTCAAGGGCCACGTTGACTATATAAGACGCAACCCTTAAGAAACTGTACAAATAGGCGGGTACGCTAAGAGGAGCACCTGTGGCTGTCTTCCGTTTCTCTATTTAGACTGCTGAGACTGAATTACGGGGGTATGTTATTTGTCTACTATTACCACCTATTTTTAATACGCTTGTGTCTGCCAGAGAAGTGGGGAAAGGGAGCGTGAAGTGTTAGGTTAGCATGTTTTCACACGTCTGTCAGGCTCCACTAAAGGTACGTCAACACCATCGAAAACGCGTTTTTCAAAAAAATATTTTTTGGCGATTTCACATTTCCGAGTTCCCTGCCCATTCAATAACACCTAGACAAAAACTATGTAGCCATCTTGAGTCACACAAAATTTATCACCATTTTTCAACCCCTGATGGTTGCATCGAAAACAGAAACTCAATGTTTCCATCTCCGCAACGCCTACCTTCTTGTCATAAATATTTTTCATATGCATATTACGTGATACTCAGTAATCTAAGTACGTTTTAATGCTCGCGCGACATCACGTTCTCAATTTATTTTTTCACTACGTAGTTCGAACATGCGCGCTTTCGTTTAGTGCTCATTGTTCATTCTTTATGCAATTTCGAGTTCTTGACTTACGTTCAAACCTAATAAAGGAAAAGTATTGATACTTCATCAAACATGGCAAAGTATAGACCAAAAAAAGCACAAACGCAAGTTGGCGAATAAATAAGCCCAGCTAGAACCCCTGTGCAACAGGAAGATGAAAGACACCTAGAGACAAAAAAAACTAAGAAAAATATTTCTTTTGTCTCGCTCAATAAAAGCTTGTACCCCTTGAAAACAGGTCACAAGCTATAAGCCTAGCGTATTTCGGGCGTGTTAAATCTGTATTTGTGACATCGATATTTGGTTAAAGCCTGTAGAGCCATTGTTTCTCAAAAAGTGATATTTTGCATCCTAGTGTTACGCTAACAATGATAGCTCTGGTTATAACCAAGATGTCCATATAAAAGTTTGCGTGCTGTTTATTTATAGGTGTAAGCGTGCACTCAAGCAGAATAGTTATTAGACATAACTTTTTGTAATGTTGTCAACTGCGTGCCAAACAAACTCGTTAAATATCAACTTTTTCACTCCTTTTTTGATAACGCGCTCAGACTACCAGATATATAGGTCGCGGAGGTTAGAGGCACAGGGCGTTGTCCTCACTACATAGCTGCTAAGTGATGTTTGAGTTACACCAAAAGTCCTTTATTTATCAGTGTTGGCACAACATGCATATTTTCGCACTTTTTATTTCAAATTCTATTTTTTTAATTTTTCAGATATTTCATCATCTATATCTTAAGCGTTTTCAAAGCCCTAGAAGCCAAAACTGTGTAAGGTTTTGGACTAAAACTGTAAATTTTTTTCTCGAAGGTGTCGGCCTACCTTAAGTCTTTAGTCCACGATAATCCATCCACAGGTACTTACCTATATAGTTATGGTACTCTATTCAGCAGCACCAATGCTATAGCAATAACTTAAGCAGAAACAGACGGTGACGAGCTGTCAATTCAAGTTGATTGCTGGCTGTAGATTATTCCAGCACATTTACCAGTGTTTGTTGCATCAAATTAATCAATAAAAACTGTACCTAAGCATGTTGTTTCACACCAGAACATTCTTATGAAACCATTCACCGTAATTGCTTGACACACAAATTTTGTTTCACTAAGCCCCGGTCATGGGCTTCATACCCGGCTGCGGAAATAAAATTCTGACTGGAAAGAAATGTAAACAGCCGTGTGCTTATATTCAGTTGCTTGTAAAGAACCCAACCTAGCATAAATTAATCAGAAATCCCCCTATACGTCATGCATAATAATGTTCTTATTGTATATGGGCGTAATTCGCTACCAATACTTCATTTTGCATAAAAAGTCACAGTTTTGCCGCAAAGGCAAAGCAATGAATGCGTTCGGAAGAATTTGGAATGTTCGGGAAAAATGGCAAGCAGATCGAAAGGTGTCCCATGTTGCTAACGCGAATAAGTGTCTTGTTGCTTCCCTGTGTCTTAAAAGAGTGCCTTTTTCGCAAGCGGAGACTTTGCGCCCGGTAAGTACAGCAGAATCGTTTCAGTGATTGCCAAAAACGTGCGATTCTCTCCACCACGAGATAAGCGCGTGCGCGCGTGAGCGTTCATCTTACCCTCTCTGCTGGGCAAAGTACGCGTGGGATAAGAGCGCTTGCCGCTGCGTCATGAGGATTTGGCAACGCGCGCTCATTGCGCCGTCTCACTGGTACTGCAGAAAACACAATATTTTCCCCGATATCAGCGTCGGCCGTGGTAAATGGTGGATATAAATAGGTTGCCGTTTAAACCATGAAGGAGGAGCTCCTTCATAGCTCAGTGGCTAACTCCTGACACTCACAAAAAAAAAACGTCGGACGTTCTATTCCATTCACCGGAGCCTTTTTCTTATTATTTTGTCCTCTCTCTCGATATATATATATATATATATATATATATATATATATATATATATATATATATATATATATATATATTATATATATAATATATATATAATATATATATATATATATATATATATATATATATATATATATATATATGTATACATATATATATATATATATATATATATATATATATATATATATAGATATATATGTGTGTGTGTGTGTGTGTGTGTGTGTGTGAAAATCAGCCGATAGTGCCCATATATTCGCTACCGCATTAAAAAGCACGCAATTAATAATTATCTGGTGATCGACTTTCTTTTTGGTGCATATTTGCATAGCGCACTTCGTGGTTCGCGCGTATCAGCGACACTTGCAGCGAAAATTCGTTTCATCACATATTCGGCAGGCATCTAGTCGCGCCAAGTCATGCTGGCCCTAAATTGATGCAAATGACTGCAGATTTTTGCACATACTAATTTAATAGTAAAGCCACTAGAATACCCGGCGTAGGCAGATTAGATAGATAGATAGATAGATAGATAGATAGATAGATAGATAGATAGATAGATAGATAGATAGATAGATAGATAGATAGATAGATAGATAGATAGATAGATAGATAGATAGATAGATAGATAGATAGATAGATAGATAGATAGATAGATAGATAGATAGATAGATAGATAGATAGATAGATAGATAGATAGATAGATAGATAGATAGATAGATAGATAGATAGATAGATAGATAGATAGATAGATAGATAGATAGATAGATAGATAGATCTTTGATCTGAGTAACATGAATTCTTTAAAGAATGTCTGGCATATAAAATTTCACTGTCGTTGATTCTAAAGAATCTAAAGGCGTGATTCACCAGCGGAATAGCCATGATGATGATCTTCAGTCTACCTCATGCCCACATCAGGACGCAGGCCTTTTCGTTGGAACTATGCAATTCTCCTGCGTCAGGGTACAGCAATTAATACATGTACAATCCCTAATACCGTCGCCAGAGCTCGTCTTTGCTGTCCTCGGCGAAAAAGAGAAAAAAGCGTACGTTCATGATCTGAGCTAGTCACACGTGAGATGAGTAACCCATTGGGCTACTCATCTCTTGTGTACGCTGTATTCTGTTTGTTGAGCTTGCTTTTAAGCCAAAGGCATCAAGAAGGTTGCTTCACTACAGCCAAGTCTGCGTTCACTTACGTCGGCGTTTTCTTGAGGTACGCAAGGTCAGACGCTAAAGGAACTGTGTGGTAGATATCGTATAAAATCACAATTGGCACTCAGATTCACACCACTGTGTTCAATGATGCATCGTTTCAGCGAAACTTAATATTTACTGCTCGCCTCTATGCAGTGTAGGGTTCTCTCATTTTTCTGTTGAGCGTCAACTGCAATGCTACCGAAAGCATTCGATAAAAAATGACAGCATATCCACGGGGTGAATGATGAAGAGTGTGGCGAAGCTTGGTCCATATGCCGCTGTCACACCGCTTCGGCCTCCCTTTTCCCTAGGGCAGGGTCCTCGCAGTGCCACCACGCTGCTTCGTGGTGGGCTTTTGCCTGGCATGCCTGCACGTCGCGATCCCTTCTTCGAGCGCTGGCCGCCAACGCCCTACGCGCCCGCCACTCAGTAGCCTTCATCTCCCATCGCCGAGCCTTTGAATGGGCGAGCGTGCCAAAACGGTGCTTTTATTGTAATATAGAGCACGCCCTGGCCTACGGCGCTGCCGAAGAATACGCGATCGTAGTCGTGCGATCGTCTCTCTCTCCTTCCGTACGTGTAACGTCAATCCTTCTTTTCTTCAAGTAACGCTCTCTAGTGTCCTACCATTTGCATTTTTCAGCGTATAGTACAAGTACCGCCCTCTATGGCCGGTTCAAGAACTAACGAGCGGTGGTTATCCCACAACAAAGACGCACATATATTTGTGGCTTCTATGCTCTTGGCTACAATTGTTTTCTATAGGCTACCAGAGCAACGCTTAGTGGCGCTGCCACTTTGGACCAGTAGCGTCATCTCTGGTGGAAAAATGGAAACTCAAAGTATAGGTCCCCGGTTCTCCCGTCTTTTCACCATGCTATTGCTCACTTCCGTGCATGCGCAGAGCTCTCGCGCTGCTCTTGCAGCGCCAAAAAATGCCATGTATCACTTGTAAAAGATCTCCCAACTGGGCCGGCATTGCGACAAGCAGATGTAGTCAAGCAATGGAAGTTCGATAATCGCGTTTACATTGTGTAGCAGACGATAGACTAAAATAACGCCCAACTTACTACGAAATATATTTCCGCAGTCCGCTCTATTGCCGTACGTGTACGATGGGATACGTCCATGTAAATTCTTTATATAATTCGTTAAATATACCTAACGGTCTAACGCACTGCGAAATGAGGCCGCGCACTCGATCGATGTTCTACGTTGTCGGCAAGGAAAACATGACTTATATTTTGATGTACATGCTGGTAGTAACAGATGCGTACTTTCATGTGCGAACTTTTGCGGCGTGCAAAAAAGAAACAAAAACGATTGCCCGGTCTTAGTACAAAAGAGCCTGAAGGTTAATCACACGTCCTCCGTACGACTGCAGCACCGCCCATTATGACTTAGCTGTGAGGCAGCTAGCTTAGCTTCAGCTTCTGCGAAGCAAGCTCGACT